AGCTTATAATAAAAATCAGAAAGACAAATTAAATTTAAAATATCCACAGGGTTCTTGTCTTGTATGAGAAAGTAAAAAGTTAGCAAGCAATTAGTTAAAGGAACTTTAAGTCMGTAAGAGAGAGATTTATATTTACATATAAATATATATACAAGATGAATTTATTTGGAGAGTGCTTTCATATATTTCTGAAGTATATAATAAAGGAACAAAGGAAGAAGCTTGGTCAGATGGAGCTGTATTTGTTGTGCTTTTCTATTATTCACAAAGAGGTAATAACTACTCTCCTACGGCAGTTTTTAGATAAATTTCAGAACACACTCAGAGATAGTGAACGAAGACTATCCTCTTCAGTCACAAACAACCCACTTGCCACAAAAGGCCTGTCTTTGTTGTTGTTACATGTCTGGAGATTTTCTGATACGGGCCATGATCACATTACCCATTGCAATAGCAGGAGGCATTGTGAGAAGCTGTTCAGTTCAGCTGAGCATCCGGTGCACCTGGCCAACAGGACCCCAAAACCTGCAGGTGGATGTATTTTTGGTGGGACCTCACCAGAAGGCAGCCTGGAGAAGTCACTGCAAAGTGACCCCTTTGTGCCACCCCAACAAAGCCMTCTGGCCTGTGGGACCCATGTGTGTGAAGTTCTGCTACAGCTGATGTGAAAATGTCCATATTTTAGCCTTCCAGAGAACAGGAGGCAAGCGGGAAATGCGGTAGCACTTCTGTCCTGGCAGGGAGCCAAAAAGGTGAGCAATCCAACCTTCACTGCCTGACCAGAGTGACCCAGGGATGGGACAGCAGTTTGTGGCTGCTACTACACCCAGGGGTCTGAGACCCCTGATTTTTACTGGAAAACTTTTAACGTCTCCATTTTGAATCCRTACATCTGAGTTCAGAGAGAAGGTATCGCAATGATGCTGACATCTCAAGAGTCAGAAATAGTTAACAATTTGCCCRGAGAGTTACAGAGAATAAGGGGATTGGGAAACGGTATCTTGCCTTATCGGTGAAACAGGCATCACAGCTTTARAGGAGTGACCCTGAACAAAGGATCACCTGGGATTTTATCAAATACTCTGGGGTCTTCCTGTGAGTTGTCAGCTCCTGCTGTGTCACCTGTCTGTCTRCTGTCACTTCCTGTGTCTCCTGTCACCTGTCTGGCCATAGTTTCCCTGCCCTTTCTCATGCAAAGAATCAATGCCAGTTCATGGCCTCTTGATTCCAGCAGCGGGAGATTTCAACCACCAGGGACCACCAACTCAACCCCCCCAGTTCAAAAGAAAAAGATTGAGCATGACCACTAATTAGCATGAGAAGCAAGAGAATCATGAAACCAGTAGAAGTGAAAATACAAATTAATAGAACTTGTCAATGAATTGTGATTTTACTTGATAAAATGTGTATATAGTTTAATTGAAATGCACTGCCTATGGAGGTGGTGGAGTCACTGTCCCTGGAGGTGTTTAAGGAAAGTGGGGGTGACACTTAATGTCAAACCTTAGTTGACAAGGTGATGCCAGGTCATAGGTTGGACTCCATGATCTCAGAGGTCTTTTCCAACCTGATAAATTCTATGATTCTGCAAATTTCTGAGAATCTGAGTGCTTGATTTATGGAAAACTTCCACCTTGCACCCTGCGCATTATAAACAACGTCTCCTGTTTAAACTGGGCCCCGTATCTGTGTTCAGCGTTCCTAAATCGGCATCAACAGCAARTCACACCGAGTAACTTCTGCCACCTGTGCCCTGGGCTTGCGCCAGCCGCCACCGCGCCCTCCCCAAACGTGGGCCAGGASTGGCCACGGGGGAGCGCCCTGCACCAGGAGCCCTCYGTGCTGCGGGCCATTGCCGCGGCASGATCCCTCACTGGCGCTGTCCCCGCTCCCGGGATTCGGGGCCGCCATCCCGGGCACGCAGCGCCCGCGCCGCGCACGCGCCCGCAGGTGGCCGCGCGTGCGCCTCGGGGTCCCCCTGGGCCCCTCGGGTGAGGCGGCGGCGGCGGCGCGGGGAGCGCGGCGGGTCCGGGTCCGGGCTCGGCCCTGTGCTGTCCTGTCCTGCCCTGCCCGGCGGCGCCGCGGTGCCGCGGTTGCTATGGGAACGGCGGGCGGCTGAGCGGCACCGGGGCCCGGCGGTGGCGCGTCCTGGCCGAGTCCCCCGGGCAGCGCCCGGTGCTCTCCCGGCCGTAGTGCTGCTCCCCGGGGGTGCAGCCTGACCGGCTGGGGGCGCAGGGCTGTGCGGTGAGTGGGGCGGGAGGCTTTGCAAAGCGGCCGGAGAGGGAGACCCTCTTTGCCGCCTCCCGGCAGCTTTCCCGTGCCCGGGAGAGAGATTTGATTGCCGGCTTTGGGTTGGGACGGCGTTTACTCCACAGGTGCTGCTTATTTGGGGAGTTCCTCTGGGCCGTGTTGTCCTCCGGCTGCGCTGGAAACCTTACTCTCTTGAGTATTGTGGACTCAACTCTCGTAACTTTGTAYTTAATTCTCTTTGATAGCTATTTCTACGCGTCAAAATTTCACCAGGGTGAAAGCGCATCAGCTGTGTTTGGTAAGTTGCTGCTTTTCAGGATTATGTCTAATAGTAGCTATTAKTTGCGTATTCCTGAAAGGAGCTTGTAGTTAGGTAGGGGCCCATCTCTTCTACCGTGYCTGCAGCGAGAGGACAAGAAGAAATGGCCTTAAGCTGAGACAGAGGCGATTCAGATTACAWACTAGAAAAAAATTCCCTGTAAGGATGGCCATGCACTGGAATAGGTTGGCCAGGAAGGTGGCGGAGTCACCAACCTTGGACATGTTTAAGAGGTGTGTGGATTTGGCGCTGGTTGATGTGGTTTAGGGGTTATGGGGTAGTACAGGGTTGACTTGATTATCTTTAGGGTCTCTTCCRACCTCGATGATTCTGAGATTCTTACTAAACCTGTACCTGTGTGTTAACTATTGTAGAGATTTGCTAGGGCAGACAGAACATATATTTGGATGTCAGAGACCAGAATTTTCACAGCTTGAGTACAGGGCCATATATTCAGGTATTGATGATTTTTTATGCAGTGAAAGTACACTGTGCACCTTAGCAATTTAATAACACTGGTCTTCAGRTGGCAGAGATGATGGTGGGGCCAGAGTGGTGCCACATCTGATGTAGTCAGTCATGCTTCTCTCATCTTCGTTGAACTGAGATAAGAGCTGTGAGGGTACAGCTGTCTTGCTTCTGGACATTGCTGGGACTAATGTGTGGATCCTGTATTGCTATCTACTGCTTTAAATCTTCCTATGCAGCTAAGACCAGACTTTTGGCGTAAACAACTGGGAAATAAAGACAAGAGCCCAAGTATGGCTTTTCAGACAGTGCTGCAATATTCTTCTACCTTTCAGTGGAGAGTCAGAGGAGCTCTTCACTTGAGTAAGTTAAAGGCTACTTGAGAAATGGTGACATTAGTGAGAGATAAGATCTGTGTGTACCAGTTATGCTGTCCCCATAGACACTGAGCATTCCCTCTGTCTGCCTCCTGCTGGGATCAGGAATCAAAATGACACAGTCACAGAATATACTGAATTGGAAGGGACTCACAAAGGTCATGAAGTTCAACTCTCAGTACTGCACATGTCCATTCCCAGCTCTATCAGATATAAGGCCTACAGAGAAGACCTTCCACTTGAGATCARAATTTCAGCTCCCAGTAGCTGGGCRAACACGGAATGATGGTCAGCTTTCCTTTTTTTAGTGAGAACTGACTATGTAATTTCTCCAAACAGACAACTGCTGTGGAACTCCTCACTTTTTTTAAATCATGTTGTAATAGAGGGAAGAATAAGGAGCATAGAGGACAAAATTCAGTCACAGTGAAGATCAGTAATAAGTATGATAGTTGGAAATATTAAAAACACTGATTGTCTGAGGCTCCTTATCTGTTCCTGCGTTTTTTTAATTATGCATCAATTAATACTTATATAATTATTTATTTAATTAATATTTAGTGAAAGAGGCTGGTGCACTTCTCCTTAGCATCCAGTTTTATGTTGGGTAGTTCTGAAAGAGTTGGGTGTGCAACAATGTGCAGGCTGTCAAAGAAAGAAGCAGTTGGAAAAGTAAAACTGCAGAACAGGAAGAGTTGGTCTAAGAAACGAAAGATAAGAGATTTTTTTTACTCCATAGTTTAGAAATAACCAAGATGATGGTGTCTGATCTACTGTCAGTTCATTGTCATAAACTGTGAGAGAATAGAAGTTACCAGATGGTCTGAATCACAGTGCAGAAACGTATTTTTCTTTTTAGGTAAGTTTGAAAAGCAGATGAGGAATTTTGGATGGTGTAAGACTCATGATGATTTTGCTGTGAAATGACAAGGATGATATCCACAGAGAACTGCACCATGATAGTGATGGGTTGTGCAGGGCCTGAGGGATGATGGGGCAAGTCTTTCACTGCCCACTGCATTTTCCAGCAGATGCAGCAGGACAGAACACTGATTGGAAGTCTGGGTTGATAACWTATATTAGTGTTATCTTTCTTTGCRTGTGCTTGGGGAGTAATTTCTTTCAGAGGAAAAAAAATTGATTGCTTGTTCTTCCTTGTCTCTGCTTATCAATTGCTGATAACTGATAATGATGCCTTTTTGACATATTAGGAAGCTGCCCTTGGTAAGGGTCGATAATATATATTGGGTTTTTCCTAAGGTGGAAAAAAACTATCTCTTTACAGCATATTATTGAATTCCTGTTTTGGCAGTGGTGTTTCCTAAGTAATCAGGTGTCAAGAAAAAGATTTTCTGTGGAATTGTGAAGGACCGCATCTGGCCYATGAAGCACAATGATTTATTTAGGGCCCTGTCAAAAAGGTTCTCCATGTCAGATACTTTTTGTTCTCGAGTATTTTCCTACAGAAGTGAGGAAAAGAGAGGGAAGTGCAATATCAATGTACTTTATTTCCCTCCATTTCACCTCTGTCTAGGATTGAGTTATTCTTTTTAACTGCATTGTGGTAGCATRACCAGTGATGAATTAATAGTTTGTAATTTTAAACTAGCATAATACTTTGTGCCTTTCACATATATTTTTCAGTGTTCTTCCTGTGCAATACTTTGCAGAGGAATGCAAGCTTCAAAGATTGAAAACAGAAGAAAAGCAGAGCCATTCTACTGGCTGTCAGTGGCAAAGCCTAAGACCAGTGCTGAGATTGTAAATGAAGCCAGAGATGCTCTACGAACAGTAAGAACTCAAAGACCATTCACACCTACAGATGAACAAAGGAAACTTTTTGGGTCTCGAWCCTCACAATGTCCTCAAAGTAGACCTGCTTCAGTTTTTAGGTACTGTGACTTTAAGATTTTTTTTCAAATATCCTTTAGCAGCAAGAGATTTGATTCTGTAATTATGCTTCCGGTGATTATTTTCCCTGTGTTAATCTGTATTCCTAATCACATCCTTTGCCTTCCTCTAATGATCCTTACTGTTGGTGCTAATCTACATGTCCAGGAAGTTCCCGTGGATTAGAGCTACCAGAGGCAGTCATTACACTCRTTTTCTATGTGGAGAATAGTTTAAAAAAATGGTGTTTTTCTTAAGACAGTTGAATACTTTTAATTGAGATAGTCTTCAGCTGTTTTTCTAGAACACATGAAAGCTTGCTTGTTTCCATATAACCTACAGGTGCTAGATCTTTTTTCAGAGATCTTTTAAATCTTACTTCTCAGATCTTTTAAATGTAAAATTTTAGGTCCTGAATTTGAAATGCTCATTTTCAAACAAAACTTACACTACCTCAATATTATTTCTATGTGGAGTTTTGTTAGTGTGAAGTGCTTGTCACTTTTTCTTTCTTCCCTCTTCTCATACTCWTTGGCAAAGGGAAGAAGCACACGATCAAAAAACCCAGCTGATCACAAAAAACTGGGCCTGCTTTATTCTTACTGTGTTTCATTTCTGTGTTAGTCTTCATGCATCCAGTTTTGATTTGGCTGAATCAAGACCACTTTCTGGTGTTCGTCTAAGCCCACTGGGTCATGTAAGTACTCTGGAAATAATTCATGCAGTATTAATACAAAAATGTGTGTCTCWGTAGTGTTGTGAAAATAAATGGTTTAAAGACATTGGGGAAAAATGGAGACTTGTAACGTTAGTCTGAGACTTACAAAGTCAGTTTGTCAATTTTCCTCAAAAGAAATCTGAAAATAAGTTAAACTGCTTAAATACTACTGTATTCCATTATGATTCTAAGTGACATTAACAAGAACCAGAAGATGGTTACTTGAGTCAGCTTTCTTGTGTAAGTTTACTAAAAGAGATTAAGTTCATGAACATAAGCCAACAACGTGCTCTTGCTGTTAAGAAGGTGGCTGATGGTATCCAGGGCTGCATTAGGAGGAGTGTTGCCAGCAGGGTGAGGGAAATGATCCTTCCCCTCTACTCAACACTGGTAAGGCCACACCTGGAGTGCTGTATCCAGTTCTGAGCTCCACAGTATAAGAAAAACATGGAGCTACTGGAGARAGTCTGATGAATGGCCACAAAGGTGATGAAGGGACAGAGAGAAATGTGAGTATTTAGCCTGGAGAACACCAGGGAGGATTTTATCCATGAATGTAAATATCTGAAAGGCAGGTGCAAAGAGAATGGGGCCAGCATCTTTTTCAGGGACTGGAACAGAGGCAGTGGGCACAAACTGGGAGATAGGAGGTTTCCTCTGAACTTCAGGAAACATTTTTCCAGCTSTGAGGTTGATGAAGCCTTGGTACAGGTTGCCCTGAGATCTTCAACAGCTTCTTGGGCATGGTCCTAGGCGACTGAGTTTAGGTGGCTGTAGTTGAACCTGGGGCTTGGACCTCCAGAGGTCTCTTCCTACCTCATCTGTTTTGTGGTTCTGTGATAAGTAACTGGAAAGTAACTAGGTGGTTGCTTTTTATTTGGCTTACATTTCTGTAAAATATCATGCTTGTAGTTTATTTCAAGAAAAGTAGAGGTCCTTAAAAAACCTCTTTTCTCCTTCTGTGAAAACTGTGAATGTTTTTCGATTTATGAGTGTATCTGCTCTTTCATGTTTTTTTAATATTTGATCTTTAAATATAGGACTAAGTCACGACCATTTGTTAAATACCCGAGAGAACAGAGCATGCTAAAATAGTTAAATATGCTTGCTGTATGCATTGCTCCTTCCATACAATAACTTTCAGGAAATTCTTTAGGAAAGCATTCTTTAGGAAATTAGGGGAAAAATCCAAAAAATGTTATACTTCATTAATTTGGATAAGGTAATATATTTATATGAATCAAGTTTAAAAATTCTGAGCATACTTTTATTTAGATTAAATATATATACATTTGGATTTAAGTATTGGTGTTAAATTTTCATTTATTTTGTTTGTGAGAGCGTTAGCGATTGAGACACAGATTCTGCTCAGGGTTTTTTTGTATGCAAAGCCCTTTATCGTAAAGAATGTCATTTCTTCTCTGTCTTTTTTCCAAGGCTTTAATTCTCTGTAAACTAAGCTTCATGTATCTAATTGTATCTATGTACCCAAAGATTTTTTGTTCACCAAAGCAARCAAATCTCCCTATCCAAAGCCTACACCCCCACATGAGAGTGGAAAAAAAATTGGAGAAGACTACTGACCAATGCAAAACCGGCCTTTTTGCTTTATCAATGGATATACACTGTAAATGAAGAGCCTGTATTAATCATGGTGGTTGTGGGGAGTGGGTCTCTCCTGTTGGCTTCTTCAGCTAATACTGTGGAGAGCTGTGAAGGATCAGCTGGAGACTTTCTAGTGGATTCTTTATTGTAAGGAAATTGGTATTGATCTTAGAGATCAGTGCTTTTATGTAGGGCAAAGGCACAACAAGTGTTTGGTACTAGAGGTTCAGGGGCTTGTTCGCATCCTGTAAGATGCAAGRTACTGACATAAAACTAGGACTTTCATGTTTCTGGATCTGCCTGATTTGTCTCAGTGTGATAGGAAATAGTACRTATGATGTGAGCATATTTGAAGTGTTTTGGAAGTACTATTTTAATGCTCAAAAACAAATCAAAGAATAGATGTATCTCTAGACTTGTTAGCAATAGCCTGGCACAATATTTTCTTTGATAAATAAGCTTGCTGCAGATGTAGTTAAATGTTTATTTACGAGGAATAAATAATTCTGAATTGTTCTACTCAAGCTAGTTTTTGTTTTCTGCACCCCTGAATGTTGGCTTTTAAATGGCTTTCTATGGTGATAATGGTATGGATGTCTGGTTTGTTCGGTGGAATGATATCATTAGATTCTGGATATGAAAATTTCTTAATGAGCAAGCCAATGTAACTTCTGTTTTGAACTTAGCCCTTTGTTAGAAATTAAGTGGGTTTGATTTGTTTTTTKKTTTTTTTTTTTAATTTTTGTTTCTATGAAAATGAGATTATCTGTGCTTTTGTTTAAAAGTCTTCTTTATATTTGTCACAGAAACCAATGCTAATCAGTTCTGCAAAAGATGAAGATTCTTCTGTTTTCCTTCCAAAACCTCCAGCTGATGCTGCAGAGGTTAGAAAAGTCAGCAATGCTCAGAAAGGCTTGTTTAGAGCAACTTCTCTGGGAAATTTATTTTCTTCTGAAGTAGTTCCTCCAGATCAGAGTAAGAATGTTTTGATATGTATAATTTGCTGGAATAATAACCACATGATGAGTTTTAGTATTTTTAATTACATGAATTATTATATTAAAGGACCTGCATGTCCTTTCAGTGTAAGTTTTGGAAGTATTTAAATGGCATTAAAGCAGTTCTGAAGCTGTGGTTTCCCATAATGGTGCTGGCTTGCACTACTGAAAGCAAGTTGAAAGCTACACAGGTGCTTCTTTTTCCTGTATGTTTCCAAGTAACAGAATTTTACTGAAAGTTGTCTTCAGTGAGTAAAATTAACATTAAATGCTGACATGTTTAAGGAGATAATGRGATGCCATCATCTAAGGAGATTCCCTGATGGATTATTGAGCATAAAAGGAGGAATAAAAAGGAATGATATGTCTTGACAGGCCTCCAATTACATCGTATTTGTTGTTAAGAGTTTCATTAGTGGAGACTTAATAAAGGTCACTAAATGTGGGATTTAAAAGTAATTTTCTTGCAGATGGGAAATGGCATCTTGGCTTCTTGCATGTTGGCTCATAATGAARYRTGCTGGTACTCTGTCGTTAATGAAGAAGACTCGTTTGTAATAATGACAATTCTTACATTCTCTGGGATTGTTCCTTAACATGATAAACTGAATATCTAATTTTTTACCTTATTGCAAAAAAAAATCATACAAGAAATAATAAACTTCATTATTACGTAGTTATTCTATAAATATATCTTCATATAATGTRCCTCTTCATGTAGTTTAATCCATTGGCCTTTACAAGTTGATTTTACTAATTGAGAAAGTTGAGAACTTAATGTAGTTATAACCTGAGCTGGTCTCTTCTCCCCTTTGGGGATCATGCAAATGTTTACATGAGGCTTGTTTTGTGGAGTTTCTTATTGTSTGTACATACCAAGATACAAGATTAACAGCTACCTTTTTCTTGAGTTCCTTCATAATATTCAGGTCCTGAAGTACAAACACTTTTATCACAAGGGACAATCCACCTATTGGTAAAAGGGAAATAAAAAAAAAAAAAAGAAGTATTTAAACTTTAAAACACAAAACCAAAAGACTTTAAGGAATGCTGTTCATATGAAGACATTGACTACCTTGCTTGTAATACTCTTGAGCTTTCTCACCTTTTAAATTGATACAAGCAGATTTTGATAATTTAACATGACAAGCTGTAATAAGAACACTTGAACAAAATGCATTCTCTTTGACTATTTCAGATGAAGAGAAGCTAGATTTTGAAGAACCAACTATGATGATGAATAATCTTGACAGAAGTAATAATAACTGCTTAGCAGAGCGAAAGTTGTACACATCATTTAATGATGAAAGTAGACAATTAATTTGTAATGAGYATGTCAGCAGATCAGGAAGTGAAGACTCCATGAAAGGGACACCAGGAAAATTTTCATTTCAGCTGCAGGGAGAAAGGTCAGCACTGGTCAAGTATGGTAATGTGCATCTTCCACACAACCCTTTACCTAGATACTCAATTGTGCAAGTATCAAAATGCTTAAAATTAATGGAATTTGATGAGAATATTRCATATGCTTTAAAATGAAACTGTGTTTAGATTATTCGAAAAATGTTCATTTCTTCTTTCAGGAAGTTTCTGCATTCAAAATACTTAATTTGTAAAAATGGTTGATAGAAATTTCTTTGATATGAAATGACTCTTATTTTGTTTGATAATTAACATTTTAAAACTAAGTCTTCTAATCTTTGCTAGTAGAATTCTCAAGTTTAAAATTGATGTGCTTGCTTTTTCAGTTTAGTCCTGTTGTTTTAAGGTGCTATACCTTCTTCACRTAGCTCAACATGAGTAGAGCTGTGCTTTCAGTTCTGGCATATACCAAAACCAGTCTTAAACTCGTTGGCAATAAAAGCAAGATTTTTGGTGACCTTTTTTTTAATGACCAAATACGTKTAAGAGATTAATGAGATTTACGTGCCTGCAGTCTGGTTTCACTGAACCTGGACTATCATATCCATTCTTTAATTCACAATTAAGCAGATTGGTTTTCTTTTGATTCAGATCTAAATTCTTGCACAGGGAGGAATAGTTCTGTGGCATTGTCTATAGTCGGTGTATCAGATGCTGCGTTAGTAGTCAGATGAACGACACTTTTGTGCTAATAACATTGATAGCTCTGGCAATCTCAACAACAAAGAGTGAAAAACACATCCTTACAAACACTTGTTCTCTCTTAAAAATATGTATTTGCCAGTAGGTATCTTCTTTCTAGCATGTTTGTGTGCTTAAGGAAAAGGTATTTCCCTGGATATTCTTAAGCACTTTTGATATTAAAGATTATATTCTTAATTTTATAAAATGAAAGGCCTTTCATTTACTAACTTGATGATAGCACTAAGTAGTTTAGAGAATGTTGTCCATTGAGGCTGTTACAGTAAATTATACATGACAGAGCTATCATAGCACTCCTTTATATAAAACTGCAAACAGGATTTAAAAAAAAATTCTGAAAGAGTGAAGACTTGTGGTAGCAAAGGAAAAATGCCATGAGTATGGAGGGAGGAAGAATGAGAAAATAAGAGCAGYGATGAAAAATGTAGGTGAAAAAAAGGAAAGTAAAGCACCGAGGAGACTGTTTTCACTGCAAAATAATTTCTTCCCATTAAAATCAGTARTCTTATAACATCTTAGGTAAAGACTTTTTGAATTATCATACTACATAAATCACTGTACTTTGAATTTTATTTAATAGAGGTATGGTGTGAAGTACTTTAGTGTTGCAGTTGAAATGGGTAGTTCCTTTGTGGAATRTGCATCCTGCCATTTTCATTCATGCTTTAAGTTTGGGTTGCTGTTTTAGTTGGTGGTGTCCGAGTGCCTTTAATAGGAAAGGGTCAGTTGATGCTTTTACTAATTGSAAAGAATGGCCTCCCTTCTCAGTCATAGTTTTGCAGGTATAATTGAACAATTAACCCATTAAATATGCTTRTTGTCTGTTCAAAGTTATACACTTCTCTTTATAAGAACAAGAGCTCTGCAAGTGGCCATAAGATAAYACAAAAATTGTTTTCCAATATTGTTCTGACTAGTTTTCTCCAAAATAGAAGAGGAATATAATGGTCCTCCATCTTTCTGTGTTGAATTCAAGATCTGCATTTCTGAATGGCACATTTTTTTTCTCTCCTATAGGTTATAGGGTGCTTTCTATGTATTTGAGTCAGAGATGGTTTTTGTCAATGCTGCCCAAGTGAGGCTTCCTGGCACCATTTATGGCTTAGAGTATCAGATATATCTGCAGTGCTGCAAGATGCATAACACAAAATTCTTTCCCTTTWGCAACAAAGATCTCTTATCTCTATCAGCCCAAGCAGTTCATGCCATTTTGTGATGGGATGGTCATGGATAATCTCAGCTGCTCTCATATGTTGTAATTCCTTTCTAAGACTTGCAACAGTGAACACATTGCTCCAGTGTTTGTGTGTGATACTACAAAGTCAGGCAGACCTTGTTCTATGCGTGTTAGGGTTCAGAGATGTCATGCTTCATCTGACAAGGCAGTTGAAAGGTACCACAAACCTAGCTTTCCATTTAGTTTTTTGAATTTGATCCACATCATAGTTTTATCTAAAAGGCTCCAGAGCCACAGGGGTGTCATTGCAGTGAGTTTTGGCAATCTTTCTCGGTAGAATATGTTTACAGGTACTGGATGATTGTAGGGTTAGATTGCTTCTGGTTCTGTGTTATAGATAGTTGAGGCATCTTGTATAGGGTTACATAGATATTTTCTAGGTATTTTCTATTTAAAGTATGTTCCATTTCAGGAGTAATAGGATTCTTAAAGGAATGTGAAATCCTTTATTACGGAGAATACTGTCATTCTCTATATGAAGCAGTTGTGTCAGTCTCAGTTCTGYATTGAAGTGATTTAAAATCCTTTCAGGAATTAAACAAAAGGGTTGTAGAAATAGTACACTTCATACAGGAGAAGGTGTGTGGAACTTCCTACTCTCCTTTCCCTACAGTTCTTATATGCGTAAAGAAATAACTTTCCTAATGAAACTGGTTTTCTAGTAATGGGGAAACAGTAGAGAATGCCAAAATAGCATGGCAGATTCCTGACGTTGATGCTGTTATATTTATTTTAAAGAGAACAGAAGGGAGGCATTTTATTCCAGCAAGAGACTTGCTCACTTTCTATGTCACATTCTTTTGTTGTCCCAAAGACTGAAGAAAACAATGAACAGTGTTAATGAAATCACTACTGCTTTATAAAGGTACTGGGGGAAAAAAAGAGAAAAGGACCTTTTGAGGGGAAAAGTTATTTGCCATTTTGTTTGCAATTCTGTTTTACAAATAACAATCTAGTTGTAATGGAATAGATCTGTTAATTGAAGCAGATTGAATGTATTGGCATGTTGCCTCAGGAAAGCAAGGAATAATTTCTGGCAATCATAAGGAAGCTCAGTTTTGTTTACATCTTCCTCCAACCATTGTGCCTTGCCATCTATTGTGATTGCTATAGAAGTGAAACTTCTAAAATGTTTTCTGCATTCATCTATTTCAGCAGAAGTGTCAACAGTGATGGCAGCTTTGCTGATGAAGAGCAACAGTTTCCCTGGTGAGAAAAGATGATTTTTTTTTTTTTTTTTGCTACTCCCATTTTTCAATATTCTGAAAGCTTAGATGTCATTCCAGGACTCCTTAAAAGCAGAGGTGCCTTCGGTGAGGAAAATTTTGGAGGCAAACAGTTCATTCCCAAGTGGCCTGTTCTTTTTTTAATAAGTGATTTTTATAAAGAGCTACAAAAGGATTAGCAGGTRCTATAAAAAAGACACACTGTGCCCTGTTTTCTCTCACCATTGCTGTCCTTATTAAATACCTATTTTACAGTATCCTTGGGATGTATTCTTCTTCCATGAGAGTGGTTTCTCTTTCTTGTGCTTTTTTTACAGTTTTGGAATATTTCAATAGACAATGATAAAAGCAAGGGATTAAATGATAAAGTGAGTCACAGATTCATCGACTAGAGTGGGTTGGAGTGGACCACTGGAAATCACTTCTTTCTGGCTGCTTAAAGTACCTTCACATCTGTGCCCAAAATATACATTCCTTTTCTCTTCAAAGAAAAGAATTCCCACAGAGGAGAGATTTTTATTTTTTTTTCTCGAAGGGAACAGTCATTCTGTTTTGCTCTGGATGATTTTTTTCAAAATGAATGACATGGTGTGCATCGTGGTTTGTTGTATGGTTTAGCTGATTCTCCAGACTTCTTCAGTATTTTCCTTTTTAAAAATTATTTATATTGACAACTCCTGGAATTCTCATAAAGACAGGGAAACAAGTCCCATCTAATCCTTATCTATTTCTGCCTCAGTTCCACTGGCTATTTGGACCACTAATTTAAGAAAGAAACAATTGAGTGGTGGGAAATCTTTTACAGGTAGACCTCTCTACAATGTTTTCCAGATTWTGTCTAGTTTGGTATATGGTTAAGGAATACTGAGAGAATACTAGGAAAGAGGAACTCTTTTTTTTTCCCAAACTTGTTACAGACTTGTAAAAAAAGAGTAAGAGGTACTTTTTACCCCTGGTCTGTTAGTTCACAAAAGGGACAGTGGAGTTCAGGCTTATTCTTACAGTACTCCAAAGAGTCTTTCCGTTTCAGCACTTAGTTTCAGGCCAATGTCATTGGTCTCCAAATCTGGGAGATCTTCAGTCTTGAGAGTCCTTATTACCAATTGCATTGTAATTCTGGAATGGGTAAGTGTGCCACACAAAGGATAAAGAAGGAATGTGAGCTCTATCTAGCTATACCTATAATAACAATGGATTTTAATTTATTTTTTGTTCTAGAAATGCAATGCTTATGCAAGATTCAAGTTAGGAAGATGATGATGATAGTGTGGTTTTCAGACTGAAATATATTTAGGCTAGTGTTTTAGATATTTTTTATGTTTRGAATTAGGCTGTCAGTTGTCTGCTTGCCTAAAGATACCCTGCCACGAATAGATACTGTTAATATTTTCAGTATTAGGAAGAACATGCAAAAACTGAAGAATAAAAAGGATAAAAATAGATTTTTTTTCATCACCCTGATTATTCTTTTAAGCCATAAAAATGTTTAACATGYGCATGAGGTTCTTCATCAATAGCCTGTATAAATAAGAAATACTACATTTTTTTATTGCTGGAGTTGTCATAAGAAATGAACTATTCCCATGATTGTGTTAATAGAAGAATTGTTATTTGCTCATCTTTAGGATGAYTCAGTGTAGTTGGTCTATTTATCAACATATTTTTGCAAATTGTCTTTCTACTAGTTATCTTTTCTCATATCAGTGGTATTARTTATACACTTGATTATAGTTTTCACTCCCTTTGTTTTTTTCCCTTCTTATGGTGTTCCTTATAATCTGCTACGGTTCCTGAAATAATTTCAGGACACCTATGTTACCAGTTACTCAATTATTTTGATGCTTTTGAGAACTTYTGTGGTTGAGAAACAAGACTGACCTGAGTTTTATGTAATTGGCTTAATACTTTACTTGCAGACAGCTAAAAGAGATATAAAATAATTTTGCCTCAGTTGCTTTTTTGAAAAGGAAAGTGGTCTTTAAAAATTGCGCTGTTATACTAGGTTGTTTTTCTTTCTTTGAGGCTTATTTCCAGAYTGTGTTTGTCTGTCTTGTTTGTCCCGCAGATGACATCACAGAATGGAAGATTCTGTGGTAACTGAGCAAAATAGGGACATAKTCTCTTAAGTGGCTCAGTGAAGGTCAGTTCTTTTAATAAAAGGATAGGGTGCCTTTCAAGTGCTAAGTTACGGGCCAGGAAAAAATCACTTGGTTTGTAAAAAAAMCACAAAAACATATTCCCTACTATTCAATTAGTGAAAGACAATACCAAAAACTAATTTTGATGTCCTTCYGGCAACATGAAAGGTCTGGATAGTATAATGAAATAGGAATAAAGGGATTAATGAGAAATGCAAATGTTAATTGGTATGTAGAAAAAATAATTTCTATGAGATTAAATGACAAAACAAACTACTAATTTTTCTCATTTTGCCAAAAGCTAAAAACATTTTCTACTAGTTGCTTTGGCAAAAATACTGGGATGTTGTTTTTATTTCCTTTCGAAGTCTACAGAGCAGTGTCTTGTTAACTTCATTAATTTTGGTTTAGAGTTAGAACTCTGTTTCTTGATCACTAAACATGTAGAGTGGAAGAGTCATAGTAGCAASGGGTTGTGTTCTGAAGCAGTGGCTCTTAAGCATTGTGTAACTGAACCTGCTCTGAGGAGGTCCATTGCAGTGTCTCTCACTTGCTGCAGCTCCGCATCTGCAGACTCTCCTTCTTTGCCTTGCACCACTTGGTCCCTTGCTGCTGACTCAGGGTTTGCAGCATTGTCTTGGTGCCCTAATTCCCGGGATCACCATCAGTTTCCTAACTTTCCCTGGAGCTGCAGTTGTTCTATGTGAGACAAAGCTGCTGAGTTTGGCTGTGCCCTGATGAACTTGGTCCAGAGCCCTCCGTACTTTTGCACAGTGCTCCCTTCAAGAGATCTGATGGGCTGTTCATGAGACCACAGTTGTGAGTGATTTAGAAAAAGTGGTAACTGGCAGTCAGTAGATAAACAGCCCATCGGCTGATACACCAGAGGGTTGTCCAGAGGAGCCTGAGCAGGCTGGAGAAATTATTTGGCAGGAATCTGATGCAGTTTAACAAGACAAGTGCAAAGTCTTGCATCTGGACAGGAACAACCCTGGGCACCRATATATGCTGGGGGCTGTCCATGTGGGAGGCAGCTTTGCAGAAGAGGACCTGGAGGTCCTGGTGCTCCCCAAGTCCATGGAAAGTTCAGGATGGCAGAGAACTCAAAAGATCATCTGGCCCAATATTTTGTGAAAAAGAGAACCTAGATGAGATTATCTAGCATGTTCATTTGTGTCTTGAAAACCTTCACTACACCTGGACTACTGGGACCAGCTCCAGGCAATAGAGATATGAAATGGCTGGAGGGAATCCAGCTACTAAGATATGAAGGAATCCTTTGTRTTAGGGAAAGCTGGGAGAGCTGGAACTGTTTAGCGTGGAGAAAAGAGGGTTTGGCAGTAGTTCTTATCTATGTCTTTTGATACTTGGAGGGAGGGTACATTGTGACACCATCAGTGACTGTGTGATAAGAGCTCTTACTTCTCCCCCATGGCAGGCACTCAAAATAGGAAAAACTACCTGTAACCATTCTTCTTAGAGATTTATTGGTTGTATATACTTTCACAGCATCTCCTTGTAGCTTTTCCCTTTGTAGTCCATATAAAATTTGTGAATCTTGGATTGAAAGGAAAGTTCTCAGCTGCTTAAATAGCCAAGTGATCCTTATCAATATAAGGCATGCCATTTTGAATAGTGGTAGCAATAAAAATAAACCCAGATTACAGGGTAGATACGTAGTCACACTCTGAATATACATGTCAGTAACATCTCAAAGAACATTCTTTATAAATGGCCTGTCTATTTAAGGATTATCCTCAGTCAAGAGGGCTGAACTCTCATCTAGTCTGAAAGAACACCTTTGTGCCTAGTAGCCCTTTTGATACACCTGGCTTGCCTGAATAGGCCCCCAGGATTTGCTTAGCATTGCTAGAAATCTGTTCTTGTTAACACTTAGTAAAATGTCTTGATTTTTGGGTGTAGATACACCATGTCTGGTTTTCCAATGCACACAACGTATGTTGGTAAAATCAGATGTTCAGTGCTTGTATTTATGTATAAACAGTCTGCATGTACTGCTGTGCCTAGACTGTTTTTAGAGCTTTGTGAAAAGTTACAAATTGCTCTCCTAGACTTTTGCATACCTGAAAACGTTGATCTAAAATAAAATCTGTAAAAATTTCAGTTACATTTTTGGGTTTTAAATAAACTAGAAAAAGGAATTTTATGGTGGCTGAATGGGATGTAATGAGGGAAAATACATTGGGAAGAAATTGAATGACTGTGAGGGGGAAATGGAAGAAAAAAGGTTTGTTTRCCTTATCAAAATAAAGACCAAAAATAAAAGGGCTCTAAGGTTAAACRATTAAACTATCCTGGGATTAGATTTGCTTCCGAGGAAGGACCTTAAGAATCGTGGTTCTACAGATATAGAAAAAGTCTCTGYAGATATAGATGTGTAGAAATCATGTGCTTATAATTAAAGTTTTTTGGCTTAATAAAAAGGGCATGTTTAAAAATGGCAGAGAAGTCTGTTTCCAGACATCAGATCGTGTCTACAGTCTATGGCTTTCTTACAGCATTTACTCAGGGCATGCTATGCACAGTCTGYGCGTTAGTAGCTCTCTGCCTTTTTAAGAAACTGTTCAGATTCTGRTTTACATGGGATAGTCCCAGTTCCTATCTCTGCTTTAAGAGATTCCATAAATCCCATTTAGATGAGTGTGAAAGGAGAGGCCCATAGTGTCTGGACGAGMAAAATTGCGTGAGGCCTTGGCACTTGCAGGAGATATTCTGGGGCTTATGACATTTTCCATCCCTACTGCCCTCATCTTTTTCTCATTCCCCATTATTCCTGCTCTTCTCTTGAAAATTAACCTGTATATTCTTCTTTATGCTATCTCTTTATSCTATCTTTATGCTTCTCTGTTCTCCCATTTCATGTTATCTAGTTTTGCCTCCCAAAGCTATTAAGGATATGTAAGMTATTACAGGAACCTTACCATGAAGAGAGGATAGTGTCAAGAGGAAATGCCTTGATGCTGGACAATTCAGAAAAGGTGGTCATGTTCTCTCTTTGTTCTAGTTAAGCTTTGCTACCTCGCTGACCACAGGTCATAGATATAATTGATACAATTGATAGATACTATTCTCTAGGGAAGCATTAACTTGTTYGTATTAGGCCATATATCCCTCTTAACTGGTAACTTAATAATCAAGAKCATTAGGGATGCATCTCTACTAATAATAAAAATTAAAGGAGTTAGTCTCTGGCTTGTTGGCCATCTGCAGTGTCCTAGGTTAATACAATGAAACTGTTTTTAATTGCCTCGCTCTCGCACACAAGGTACTGTCTAGAAATGGCCCTACCACTGCTTACTTGTGCCCTGCGCTCAGGCTTTTGTCAAGGAAAGTAACACCTTTCTTGAGCCAGAACTGTAGCAGGGACAATTCTAAGAGTCTAAATCTATGGGATAACGTGAGCCAAAATTCAGCTCAATTGTTAGACTCTGTTTTGCAAATAAAGAGGTAGCCAGATTCTCAAATGTTTAAGGTATAGTACGAGTGCTGTTCTTCCATTGGGATCTTATATTCACATTTGTGATTCAAACCTTGATGTTGTGTGCAGCTTCTTTGGAGATTACTAGTTCAATTMTTTGCCTCTGGGATATAGTTCSTAGAAGTGTAGTTTTCCCTGGAATRCCRTGGAARGGTAAGATTTTCCTGATTTACCATTAGCAAGAGGCTCATGGCAGGAAAAGGCAAATAAATGTCTAAACATGAAGAATTTCTCAATAAGTGTAGCTTTCACTTAATTATCCATTCTTTCACTAGGGGAAAATACTGAACACCTGTATTGGGTCTGGCTGTGACAGTTTATTTTCCCTGGAGCAGCCCTCACAGTGCTGTGYTTTRYATTGGTAGCTAGAAGGGTGTTGATAACACAYGCACATTTTSGCTACTGCTGAGCAGCATCAGTAGTGTCTCTCCAACATGTGACCATCACCAGGAGGCTCAGGGTGGGCAAGGTCTCTTGAGGGGGCATAACCATGACAGTTGGACCAGACTGACCAAAAGGATTCCATACTGTATGATGTCTACTCAGCAATAAAAGCTAGGACAAAGGAAGTGAGGGGATATTTATTATTATGAGATTTGTCCTACAGAGCATTCACTATGCATAGTCAAGCTGTACTTACTTGGAAATGGCTGGGCATTGCCCACTGGTGGGAAGTTGAACATAAATATTTTTTCTTTGCTTCTGCTTTATTAAACTGCTTTTATCTTCACCCATCAATTTTTCTCTATCTTGTTTCTACCTTCCGTCATGTTGAGGAGGGGTGTGAAAAGAGTGGTAGGATCAGGTGCCCAGCGTTCATCCAAGGTCAACCCATCACACCACACCACAGTACTCCACTACTGGCTCACTTTCCTTTTGGAAGTCCTCACACTCGGTGTACATTCAAGAAAGCAGTATTCTTCATTGAGGCTACTRTGATTTCTTTCAWAGGAGAAGGATAAAAATGATCCAGTTGCCAAGTTCTTTTTCTTCTGTAATCGTCAGAGCCTCTGTCAGTTGATTTCTTGATGAGCCCCTTATCAGATGATCAGATTTCTGCCAATTGACTTTGTTTCCAAGGCAACTGCTCTCTTGACAAGCCAGTTCCCTTCAATAGTAGGTAACTTATTTTTTAGAATAGGTTGATTATATTTTAACTGCATTGTTCTTAGCAAGATACTTCTATTTAAGTTTCAGTCCTAAATGAAAATTTAAAGATTATGAAGCAAAARTCTGTGTAACTAAAATGAAGTTGGCAGAATGGTAAAGATGGGTAAAGGGATTTTATAATCTCTCAATTATAAAATCTCTCAGTTGATAAATTGTCTATATTTCCTAAAGATAAGCCTGCCCACCACTTATTCCCATTAATGCAGTGTTCAGCATATTCTTTTTCTGAAAATMATGGATGTTCGGGTTACTTAATGAGGATGTTTCCCAAAACCACACACTGTTGTGCTACTGGTATTCAGAACAAACTGTTTTCCTACTCATTTAAGTCTCTTAACTGGTTGACTGTGGTGTTTAAAAAACAATAGGTTCCAACCAAACTTATTTCCTTATGCGATTGACATCGTCTTACTCTTCATCCCACATATATGGTGTTTCTGTCTGGTAGGTTAGCACATCATTTGCTTTAGCATCTTTTTCTATTAATCTCCTTTTGCTTCCAACAAAACTTGTAGGATTGTCTTTGTTGAGATTTCTTGGTTTCATCCTGGATTTATGTTTTCAGGGAAGAGGCACAGGCAGGATATAGTTACAAAACTCTTCTGAGGAAAGCGAATTCAAATATCCATATTCATRTAGATGTGTAATATCATCATGCCTACACACAATTCTGAAGGTACTGATTTCTGAATACATCTGTTTTGGTGTAAGGTGACTGAAGTTGTTTTTTTGCTTATCCAGTGTCCTTTCAGGTTGTAGTCTTGATTTCAGGGATGGCTGAAACTTGTAAAGTTTATAGGACAAGGTGTTTACATAAATGGGACTAAATTTTTATTTCTGTCAATACCCTGAACTGTATGTAATGTGTGCTGTAAAATTCCTCTTTCTTAGAGATGCCAGATAATTTTAGAGATGCAAGCACTTGTTCTTTTTTTCTTTATTAACGTATTGCTTCCCCATGGGAGTAGAAATTGCTGTATGTGAGCTGAAATAATTTCAAGATAGTTTGTGTAAGCATTTGGATTTTGGAGCACATAAATCCTCATGCYGTAAAAATAAAGCATTATTCACTGTTAGCCATAATGAAGCAACTGTTCCTCTGTAATGTGATTGCTTGGGAAATTTTTGACTGATCACAGTGAGCTATCCAGTCCCTTTTGTAGAGAACTGATCTTGCAAGAGCTTTGTCTTTTATTCTGTCTCCATATGTTGATAGGATGACTTACATCTTCTGTCTGGACTGACAGACAGGACTTAGGCACCAATCCAGCAAAATACTTAAACAACAGTTTAGCTTTAAGCCTTAGAATAACTAAATTAACAGGTTAAAAAAACCTGAAATAATATTGATAACACACTRCTGTCATCTTTAGAAGGGAATTCAAGGGATTATGTTATAATGTAAATGGTGAACTTTAAATGGAATAAGAAGTGTTAAACATACACTGAGAATAGAAAACATTGATTAACACTTTTTAGTACAGGAGGAAGGATTCTGATTTGATATGAGGGAGTCTATATCTTGTGTATTCGTTGTAGAGCAGTGCTTCTTGAGTGTGTTGCTAGGAAAACAGAATAAATATATTTATTATAGATGTATGTAGTAGTTTCCCCTGTCCAAAGAAACAGTGACAGTAAAATCAGCAGGAATTATGGCATTACTTTATAAAACAATGGAAATGGCAACATCCCTGTTTCTTGTACTAACAGAACTAGTGACCACCATGCAGTTAGCAATAGCCCACTGGCAGACCCAGAAATTCTAATATGTACTTTAAAGGTTACTCATATGTATATTTCTTTGAAAAGTCTTCTCATTAAAAGTTTTAAGAGTGTTAATCCTATCAGAAAAAGATATTGTGTGTGTGAATGGCTGAATTTACAGCTTTAAACTAGTTGAGTTCCTATCCATTTAATGAAACTGATGGTAAAACAGAAATTGATTTTTTCTGGATTTAGTTTGGTTGATCTTTCAGTTTTACTGAGCTAGTRGAAATGCTTTAGGTTTTGTGTTCCATAATGGTGACCTCTTGTGGTGTGAATATGTCAGTATTTCTGAAGGAGCTTTCTGTAATACATATGGGAGGAGGCTGTATTTACATGTAACTTTTCATGAGTGGCTAACTTACCAACTTAGTAAAATAATATCATCTCTTCCAATTAGTTATTTAGTATGCAGAACTCAATACATGTGAAAGAACAAGCATTCTGAGCATTGTCTTCTGGTAATACTTTTGTGTGTCCATCCTGTTTCTTTTAGTGACGAGGTGAAAGAGCCYGGCAAAAAGTCATCACAGCCAAGGAGTTCACACTGGAAGAGAAGAGTAACAGGTACAAGAAATTTCAGTCTCCATTCAAAAAATGTGAAATGCAGTCRAATAGAAATAATCCTGTTCTTGTGATTTGACAGTCTTGTTCTTCATTATTCACCAAACAGTAATTTTGGTTTTCTAGATATATTGTTTTTTTCCTGTTCTTAGTAAAGAGAAACAATACTCCAGAGATCTTCGGTCTAAAAATCTGTTGGTATTTTCTCTTTTGCTTTTCCCATATCTAGGCTTGAGAATTTGCCAATCCATTAACATCTTGTTTGCCCATCAGTTTTTGTAATCTATCATAGTTGCACAGAAACTAATAAAATTATGCCATCCTGTCTTATCTGAAGATACAGATTTTGGATAGGGATGCATTTTGCTGATTTTACATAGATTTAAATAATATTTCCTCATAGCTGACACATTTCAGACATCATAAGTGCAAATTTGAGAGTCTGGTGTGGAAACCTGAAGTTTCCACTGTGCTATTACTATGCTTTATTAKTATTTTTCTAGAACTGAAAAATTATGGTATTCCAGATCATTCTGGCAAAGGCTGTAACGTGCTCTGTTTTCATTTCCTTATGAGGAGCTGACAGTGTTTACCATRTCATGGGAGTTAGCATTCTTTCAAGGCTTTTCATTTGTTTATGCTATTTTATTGATGTTATTGAACATACAAAGTATGTTTTTAGGACTCTTTCTTTTTATATCTAATTTTCTTAATTTTATGTGGCTTCCTTAGTTTGTATATGCTTCATCTTTAATCCCACTATGAAGAGTGGGATAGCATTAGGAATTCTCCATCATATCTTCTCTACCATGGGATTCTGGGTGAAGTGTTTATTTACAAATTATTTCTATTTTCTGATATTATTTGTGTTTATGCTTAGACATTTTAGAGAGGACGTAGAATGTTTTAATATTGATCTATTCATGGCCACTCAGTATTCACTGAAAAGGCTAAACATTATAAGTCAGGCAGTACTCAGCTTTTGAAAGCTCAGTGTTGCTAAGGCTCTTGTATTTACATGCTAAAAACAGCAACCAATAAATGTGGACTGATTAGTGATTTTTTTTTTTTGACCAGACTGCAAAGCAGCGGTTAAGACCTATGAGAAACTGAGACAACCAACTTAAACTTGCTGCATTCTTTTGCTTGAGTATTTTTGCYGTTGAATTGTGATTCGCTCTATTAGAAGGTTCAGGACAGCTTCTGCAATATTTTAAATACAGCTAGTACCMTTAACTTTTCATCATCAGCTTAAAAAATCTCCCAGGACTGAGGCACAAGCAATTTAGTAATGTTGCTTGTCTTTCTAGTTATGTATTTTCTGGTCATTCTTATTGCTAGGATTAACACTGTTTAGTAAAAGCTGATTAACTTCTTTTTTACTTAATTACAAGAGATACTTTTTCTAAAAAAATTTACGCCATTATGACTTTCAGTTTGCTGTATTCTTCTGATAAATATGAGACAAGTGAAGCAGAGTAGTAGGAAAAAACCTATTTTCATTCTGAACTGAAAATTAAATGGCTTTAGTAATTTTTTTTTAAGTGAGAAGTTTGTCTTTATCTGCAAATGCATACCTGAAGTTTTCTATTTCTTGCTTAATGAAGTTAAGTATATGAGTAGTTAAAAAGTCAGTCCCATCTTTCAGTTTAAGAGAGGTAGCTACAGATCAGAAAGAAATAATTGAGTCAATATGTGGGTTTTGTGGCAGGAAGGAACAGTGCAAACTATTCTAGTGCTCTCAWTTCAGCTGTACTTTTATATTACCCAGAGCAGAACTTTCACTTCATTGCAAAAACTGCATTGTGTTTTATTAATTAAGCTACTCATCAATTTAAATAASACTATCAGCTCATTTGATCTAGAAATAAAAATGGTATGCAAAATAATAATATTTGCTAATAACATCTATTGTTGGTGCTTGCATATATGTATTAGTACATAGTTATTGTAATAACAGATCTAGTGTATTACTTATGAAACAGCAGCATTTTTAATAAGCTGTTGGAATAGGTATATTTGATAGATTAATTGTGTGTAAAATGTGGGTAGACAGTTAATACAGACCAGAAAAAGTCTGGATTATTTTCTAAAAAGTAAGCTTTTAAAATAGGAAGTTCTTAATTGTTTTACTGTTCCAAGTAATGCCAGTAGACAGTCAGTGTTTGAAGGTTGGAGATAACTGTTCTCATAATGCAAACCTCTTATTATTGGGGTTCTCAGGTAGTACAGAATTTTTGTGTTTGGTAATGATTATGTTAAGGATTTACATTGTCACTTAAATGCARGAGCTAGTAATGAACAATAGGAGACATTTTCAGACAAATCTGTCACTTAAAGAAATRTATATATACCAGTCTTAATGGCTTTCTTAATGTTACTTAGTAGAGTTGTGTGACTTTTATTTCCCTGTTAAAAAAACCTCAAAACAAATAGAACAAATCAGACCCGTCTTTATAACAACTTTGCTTGCCTGCAAGATAAAGAGCTTAAGCCAATCTTAAACTCCAAACACGCACCTTGTAAGCAACTGTTTGATCCTTTACATCTCTGGCTCTCCATCTGTAGTAGCCCAGTGGTCCAGGCCMCAATTCTGTCACTTTCCAAAGTGCTAGGTCAATGTGTGAAGGTGTTCAGCTGTCAGAATAGTTCCCAGTGATATCGCATCCATATGAAAGTGAATCCTGCATTCCATTTTTTCATAAACCGTGTTTTCACCAACTTCCTTGTCCAATCTGAAAACAGATCTGTGCTCGCCATCTTGTTTCCTGAAGAATTCTAGTCGATGGATTTTTTTGGTCTACCAATTTTTGACCTGATGTGTGCTGATCGAATTTTTTTTCTATTTTCTTTTTGAAGCCAAGTWTAAAAAAAGCTTGAATATTTTTTAAAATCTTCTTTGTGAAGTGAACAAGGTTTCTGATAGTGAAGAGTAGCTTTTTCTCAGTTATAGGAATTTGGCTGAGGGCAGCCAAGCACTACTGGGAGTTTGTTGCCTTCAAGATTTCTGACATGTTTATTGGCGGCAAAATATCTTTCATATATCTRTGGTTTACTATTCATTTCCCAGGTTCCTGTGTGAAAAACTGCAGAATACAATAAAGAATAGGAGGGAAATAAGCATTTTATAAAAGTTTAGTCATGAAGTTCTCAATACTAATTGCATGAAGTAGTTAGAATTGCTAACAGGATGTAATAACTAACAAGACTTTTCCCTAACTGACCAGTCAGTTAATCAAGCTTAGTCTAATATCATGCRTGTGTACTAGATAAAATTGTACAGACCTAGAGGGTTGTCTGTAGTAYGGATTTTATTTAACTAAGAATAAGCTGTCACGTGAACACAGAGCTGAAAAATAGTAGGACACTTTGATGTTTAAGTAGTCATTACTTTACAATTCAGTGATCAAATGAAACATTAATGTCAGCAAAYGCGAGCTTTACAGTACAACTTTACATATCAAAACACTTACCCATCTAGTTTTGTTTGAAACTTTGGTTTTTGAGAACATGTAAATAAAAACAAAAAACTTTAATTTTTAGAATAACCCAGAATATAGCAAAATGTCATTATTTTTAGATTATTTTCTGACTTACGAGTGAAGTGTTTGTAGCTGTTTATTATTGCAGAAAGTGAAACCTTCAYTGAATATGTGCTTTTGTTTTGAATGTATTTTGAAGGCTTAAAGAATGAAACAAAAATAAATGAATGGGACGAGGAAGATATCTTTTGGCAGAAAAGGATTCTCCCAATTCTACAGGAACTGGAAAAAAGTGGGTAACACTGTTCTGRAAGGATTTACTTTTGATACTGTTTCTTGCAGGAAGCATGGGACTCATTTATGTTAATAATAACAGTAATTGGAGTATGTGGCCTTTTATGCTTTCATATGTTCAGCGACTTCACCATGTGAAACTGGCCTGTGCAGTCTAGGTGGCCCTGCTTGAGCACAGGGGTTGTACCTGTGATGATTTTCAGAGGTCGTTTCCAACCTTACCCATTCTGTGATTTTGCAAAAAAAATCCGAAACTGATTCAGGGAAGACCTTATTTTGTCTGATTAAATTACCTTATTTTAGACAACATAGCTCTACCAGCTTAGCAGTCAGTKTTGAGCTAATAATTTTAAGAATAAAGTACTGCACAGATTCACTGCTTTAACCATAGACTGTATTGAGGATCTCAATTTTAGAAAACTACGGAAATCTTAATGRAAAGTTCTATTTGTGCTTAAAGTGTTAGATATGTCAGAAGAGCATGTAATGACTCAGAATACTGGAGCAAAATTGAGTAAATTAAATATARCTTGAAAGATTAAACTCTGGAATCCATTTGCATTGAAAACGTCATTCAGTTGCCTTCTGTAGACACTACATTTATTTGAATGGTGGGAATATAGAAAGTAGGTTTGTTTTTACAAGTAGTTCTATTTTATGGGATCTTTAGCACTGTTTGTGATAGCCTGATGAGTATTAAATACCYGAACAGTGCAAAGCAATTCTCAATATATGTAATTATTAAAAAAAGACAGGATTCTTATTTCCAYATATGTCACTGATGTATAGAAAAACGGTGATTAGGAAATTCGAAAACAGTTATGTAACTTCACATTCACCTCATTTAATGCCAAGATTGTCAAATATGAGCCACTGAGTTACGGTTTTGCATAGTGAGATGTTCTCTATTCGTAAGAAAATAAAATTTAGAGGAAAAATGTAATCATGTCTTTCCCTTGTCGTGAATGTAGCTAAGGAAAATCAATTTTCATGCCCCTTTTCCTCAGTCTTTACTTGATTTGGTAAAAGTATTGGGGTTTTTTTAGCTTTTTTAAAAACTTGATTATGGCTTAGTTTTTCTAATAATAGATGACATTATCTAATGATACTTTCTCACCAGCTGATTGAATGTAGTACTACAAAAACTTTAAAGCCTGAGTTTTGCTACTTCTTGAATATTAACACAAATTGTAACTGAATTGCATCATTGCCTCCTGCAACTGCGTGATACATTGCTTTCTCTAGGCTATTTACTGCACAATTCTTGCAAAAATTAATATTAGAATTCCATAATTCTAATGTTTTAAGTAAGTCTGTTGGTAATTTAATATTTTTTAATTTTGTGTGCAGTCATTTGCTTCCTACCTTCTAGCTAATTCCCTGCACATGAATTTAGGTCACCTTTAGTTTTTCATGTATTAATAGAGAAGCCTTTTTCTTCAAATTCTCATGCAAAAATATTTGCAGAAAATTTCCCATTCAAGAACAAACCTGAAGTTAACCTGGAACTTACTTATTGYCTAAAATCTTCTGAATATGATGAATGAGATGTTTGTAATATGACAGAAACTAATAGAACCTGAAAGCCTCTTTTTCTAGAGGAAAAAATAATGAATTTTGTTACATTCCAGTACTCAGTAGGTTAAACTTCAAAATGCCCAACTGGGATRAGTGATCAATAATTTTTGTTGTTGTTAATTGTGATGGAGTGTAARATCTTTCTGTTTTGGTTCCTTGCCWCTCCTGTTTCACAGCTTGCTGGAGCAGAGCATTTAGAGTCGTGCTAAATTTTATCAAAGTTTCTGTCACGATGGGAGTAGAAGTGGAATAGTCATTGCTGTTCCTTGAGTGTGATGATTGCAAATTGAGAGCTTCCAGGCATTGCTCAGCATGAGWGATCGGTTCTTGAAACAGCCTACAGGTCTGAGGCCTCAGACATGTTTTTTGTTGTAATTTCCTGTCCATACATATTTTATCACAAATGTGTTGCTTTCTTGAATATGACTGTTTCAGCCCTGAGTAAATGCAAAGTTTGTACTGGCAGTTCAGGTGGATTTACATGGAGTTTTGTAATTGTCACCTTAAAAACAAAAGCAAATGTAAGAAAAGTTCTTTAAAATCTCACTGTTGAATTTTAAAACCAGACAAGAATTTTTTCTCTGTTTTTTCTCTGAAGTAAACATGCAAATGATTCCATTGTGTGGAGATGCAGTTTTYGTAATAATTAGCTGCAATTTTTGTTTCCATGTATTTTAAATACAGTCTCAGGGACTTGGGTGAGGAAATAGATGACTTTTTTAATAGGCCAATATTCCATTCAAATATGCTGTACCTCTACATTGAAGAATTTAACAAGCTTTTACATTCACTTCTTTTTAATCCTGACAAGGTTTGATATATAAAGTTATGTATATGGAGAGAAAATTGCTCCTTAACTCTCCTTTTCTCATGTAATGTTTGGTGGAACAATTTAAAGAATGTTTTCACTGACACAGTTTCCTGGTGGACTTGGAAGATTTGGTCAATCTGATTRTTAAGCATCAAAGGTGAGTTTCATTTTACCTGTAGGTATTATTATGGCTCAATGATGTCTTGGCTTGAGTCTTTTTCTGAGAGAAAGGAGAAAAAAMTTATTTCTAGGGATCACGTTATTGTATGAAGACATTTATTTGGTGCCTTATTTTTGTTGTTATGCAACTTAGTCTTTATTTTGTTCTCCTGTGTTTTTATGTATTGAGATGCTCTGGATAAAGTGGCATAGATAATTATTTTTTATTTTTCTCTCCCTTCCTATATCCTTCAAACAGAAGACAATATAGAAAACCTTTGTCTGGCTTGTACCAAGCTCTATCAAGCATTGAATGAAGGAAATATGCTTGGAAAAAGATTTAAAAGAAGAAATGTGCTTCTGAAGACATTATATAAACTTGTAGACATTGATTCAGATCCACTTTGCCTGAAGCTGGCAAAGATTATTGTAGCTGTAAGTGTTTTGAAGTGCTCTTTGGTAGAGTGTGAAGCTCCAAATCGTGAATTACTGCTTGCATTTAATTTTTCATTTCATACTTTTAAACTGTGTCTAAACTAACCCTTTCCTAAGTACAGTTTACTACCACAGAGATATTAGTCTCCCATTTATCTAGATCAGTACTTGTAGCTTATTTTCTGCAGAGCAGTTACATCTGGGGGAGGAAGGAGGGGCACAAAATARGATAGTTGGTGTATGGTGGCAGGAATATTGTAGGTGTATTGTAGGTGTGGAAAAGACACAGTGTCCTAAACTGGGATACACATGCAGGGATTTAAAAACCCCGATTACTACAAAATGTACACATGGAAATGAAGCTTAGTTTTTGAATAAGATCTTGACCTTGTTAAACACCTTTATTTGAAAATACCAAAATGGGGAGTTTTTTTGAAAATAAGTGTAATTAATCTTTTGCTTTAGTATTTCTGGTTAAAACTCACGATTAAGTTTGTGCTTTAGAACTCCTTTGTTCACATTCTACGAAGTATGTAGGGACAGTCACTGGTGGAAGGATGCCAGCTGATATTGTGTTGTAGACATYTTAGTAATTTGTGTGTGTGTTGAGGGAGTCCTGTGTTCTCCTTTAAGGTAGTGTAAGTTATTTCATTCAGAAGATGCAGTTATATACTCAGATATCACAGAGATGTTAGATGGTGCTTATTAAAAAGAAAGGTTTCATTACAGAGATTTTCCTGTGTAATTTTCAAAAAGCATGAACCTAGAAGAAATTGCCCTTRAAATGCAGAGGAAAGGAAGAGATATGTAGTTTTATTTTTACCACCTTTACTTCCCTTTCACGATCTTTTGGTGACCATTAGTACATTGTAAGATGATGTTATAGAATGCCTGAAAATTMATTTCATTATGACATGTACTTTTGTACTGGAGGTCTTTGTGGCATGGCCATAGATGCAAAACCACTGATTTCTGTTCAGAATTTCTCTGTAAGTGAATTGGAGGAAAAATCCTGCAAGTTATTGTAATGCTACCTGTTTTTATACCAGGTATGTACATACTTACTGAATTAAAAATTTATATATTATCTGTTATTTTAATATCAGCACAGTTTGCTAAAGAGAGTTTAAAATACCTGTGTCTCAGGGTCCTTTAAATCTGCAAACTTCTTCTGTTTGGTTTAGTGTATTGTTAGAATTTCAGCTGTAATTTAATAGTTCTGTGTAAATACAGGTTTGCCATAGTRTCTGAACTAGTAGAATGTTAGGGTGCATTTTTGCATGTAGAATTTAGTTGTGATTTTATGTCTTTTACTTTCTTTGCAGATGAAAGTAGATGGAAGAAATCTTCTTAGTGTTTGCAAGTTAGCATTTAAAATTTGCAAGGACAAAAAGAATGATTTAATCGTTCAAAATGACACATTTCAAAAGGATGCATTATTGGGTATGTATTCTGTTCTYGTCAGTAAGATAGATGTTGAAATTCAACGGTGAGAGTGTTCATCTTTGAAGAAACATTTTCAGAGTTAACTTAGTCACAGACTAAAAATTGCCTGTCTAGGTCAAACCARTGGTTGGTCTAGTCCACTGTTCTGTGTCTGAGTAACAATGGGAACAGGGAATGCTGTTTAGGGGGAGCACGGAAGCCTGTGTGTTTTCTCTGGTCTGTATCCCCGTTTTACTCCATCCAGAACTGTTACATTCTTTTAGGAACATTGGATGGTGCWCCCCTGCCTAATCCCTTCTTAGTCTCTGTTTATAGATGAGTTTTTCATTAATTTGCCTAATTCCTTTTTGGATTTTCTGATTCTGTCTGCCTCTACAGACAGAACAAGTCTCCCATAGAACAAGTTTCAGAAATTCTCTGTCGGCTRTTTTCACTCTATATACTCTTATTATCCCCCTGCTTGTAGTTCTGCAGRGTTTGTAAGGGCTTGTACAGTCAGCATACCTTTCACCTTCATGATTTTTTTAAATGCAGTCTTACCACATATCTCTGTCTTCTCTTTTTCATGATGGAGGCATCTCAGCCTTTCAGCTCTCTGAACAGATATTGTGTCATTCAGTTTTATAAGTCCTTCTCTGTACCTTCTCAAACTCCAGTGGATCCTTGTTGAGATTTATGGAGTAAAACTGTAGAATTCAAGCTGTGTCTGCACCAAGTTTTATAGAAACTAAATCATGCTGATTTTGTTTTTGGCCATTATCAGGGAGSGTCTTGAGAACAGTCACTGGCTTTTTTATATTTTTTATAGCTGCTGCTGCACATTGAGTCAATGGTTTTGGAGAGCTGTCAGCAATGGCTCTAAGATCTCTTTTGTGATTGTAACAGTGTTTGTATCATGCCCACATCACCCTTGCAAATACAAGAAATACAGAGAAAATTACAGTGTATGAGTGATACTCAGKATTGATTGAGAGTAATTCCTTTTATTAAAACTTCACTGTGTTTTATTAATGTAGGCCTTGACCTTGCAAGCCTTTATTTCATGTGTATAGTTTAATGTGTATGTGTATTTTTGCTTAAATAGATGAGAGTATTCACKGTCTTAAAGTTTGTAGACAATTACTGTCAGAAATAAAGACACACTTCTTAAGTGGTAAGGAAAGGACTCACAGGAAATAGAACAGCTGGGGTTGTTCAGTTGACTTGGGACACTGAAAACTAGTTTTGTAGAGATCAGCATCAAATGTAGCATTTGAAAAAGTCGCTTTTTGCTCTCGTTTCCATCCTCATTCACTTTCACTTGCTCTTCTTTCCCTGTATTTTAAAAACTAGAAAGAAAGAATATGCTTGGTAGGGGTCGTTTTATTTATTTATTCACTCTTTATGTTTTGGACCCACCTTGTCCCTGCGGAAGACATGGCCCTGGCTTATGATCATAATTGCCTAGATCCCTGTTACAGTRACTGGGTAACAGTTTCAATTTCTTTTTCCTCTTCTGTCCCTGTGAACTACTTATGTACAGTGCAGCAGCTCAAGTAGAAGAAATAAATTAATCATTCAACCCAAAATTGACAACTACTGTTCAAGACTCTGTTTGATACTGAGCAGAGCAGGAACCTGAAACTGATTTCTCACATGGCCACAACCCAAGTCATTTAATAAGTGAGGSTGAGAGTTTGGACAAAGAGCATAGAGTGTGTGTATTTCATTCATATACATATATACTTGGAGAGACTTTCAGCTTGAGTTGAGATAGAAAAAATTCTAAAATCTCTTCAGTTTAATGATAYAGGAAAACGTTTTTATTCAACTGGGACTCAATGGAACATAGGAAGCAAAAATAGGTATTTCTTTGAATCARTTACTAGAAATTCAAAAGTATAAAGTTGGTTAGTATTACTTACTTGTTTARGATACCATCGCCAAATTCAGAATGTCTTAATTTGACTGCAACAGATAAACTGGGCTTGTGTTAACAACTGTTAATTTTAACATTTCAGGTGTTAAAATTATTTCTGACAGTGGTTGCGCAAAACAAAATTGTTACGTCAACTTTACCCACGTAAAAAGAAATTCTAAAAAGGCTATTAACAGATTTCAAATATGAGAGTTAAATTAGGCCCCTGTGCTTTTTAGTGCTTCATTTGAGATGCTTTAAGACATTTAATTTGTAAGGAAGTAGTGGGTACACAAAATTCCAGGCACACACAATCAACTTGCAAATCTTGACTGAGGATTTCAGTGATTCCTGTTATGTGTTTGCAACTTACATTGGTTCTTGAAGCCTAGAAGAAAAAAAGTCAGGCCCATKCTCCTATTCATCAATAATTGTTTCTTGGTTTCAGTCCAAATACTCAATTTTTCTAGCCCACTTAWTAGAAATATAAGAGTTCAATCTGAGGGTGTTTTCCAATTGTTATCCTCCTCAATGACTGGAATGTATCAAATAAAACTTTTAATATTAGACTTTCTGAATAATGATTTTCCTTTTAGATTATTTGTTGGAGGTTCTGAGAAATGAAGATCTACAAAAAAACAACGAAGCTCTCGTCTATTGCATGGGAGCTATAAAATTCATGTCTGGAAATGCAGTACTCCTTAATGAAATGGTCAACAAAGGAGCTGTTGAAATGTTGCTGCAATTAATGAAGCAGATTAATAACATAAAAGAACATGACACATATTTCTCCAACTTGGGCCACTTATTAGTCCAGGTTAGCATTTAYTTTTATTTCTAAAAGTGTGTACTTSAAGGGCAAATGAAAAATTTAATTAGACAAGATAAGCTAACCCTGTGTGCCACTGACAGAGTTGTACCTATATTTCATTAAACTTCTTTTTAAGAAGTTTAATGAAGTTGTTCAGGACCTAAATTTAATTACCATAGATATTTTTGTGTCATCAATTCTAGAGGCTTTAGAAATTCTGAAGTTAATAGAAGTAATTTTAGGTACCTAATAAACCAGTTTCTCATTACTACTTTATTGTGCTGACAGTGTTCTGGATACTGTAGTAAACAGATAAGAATGTGTTCTCTATCTAAATTCTGTAAACTGAAATAATAAATAGAAAGAAACTGGTTCTGCAATACTCCAGGAGATTATAAAAAACGTTTTATTACAAGAATAATGCATTTTAAAAATGTGTAGGAAAATACAGCTGTGTTTCTTCAACAAAATGTTTTTGAAGAACTGTAATGTAAGGAAAAACCTGTAGCAAAAATGAACACTTTTTGAATCTCTTGAGGGCATCAGGCTCGAAGCTGTTTTCACAGACAAAGAACCTTGATAAGTAGTGGCTCTGAAAACTACTCCTGGKCCATAAAACTGTTTAATGTTTTAGAAACACTGGGGGAATGCGGGGGCYGGGGGGGCCGTGTTTAGTAGGGATTTGCCAGGTACATTCCTGACATTTGTTTGGAAGTTATTGATGTAATGATTAGCAAATGGTTTATCTGTAAACTTTTGGGGACTTCATAGGAAGATATATTGGACAGTTTGCTGAGGTAGTGTTTGCACTAGGTTGGTCTGCTAATTATGCCAGATTTCTTTAATTCTCTACTAACTTACAAGCAAGGGATTTTATGCTTCTTGAAATGAGAAAACAGATAGCTTATTTCATCAAATTACTATTGCTGATTTTTGTCTTGTTTTTTTATTCTTGGTAATAAAACTAATGAATCAGTTTATTTCCAGGATTTTGACTAGCTGTCTGAACTTCCCCACAATTTTGCAGAAATGTTTTTCTTCCATTAYTTGCCTGTGGATAAATTAGGGTTTTTTAATCAAAGGTTTAGTTTGCAAATGTGTGAAAGGAAAGTGTTACATTTTATGCTTTTGTAAAAAATCTCATAGCTGTGCTCTTTTCRGTACAAATGGAAGTGTAGCAAAATTATTTTGCACTATTTGAATAGAATGTCTGTTTCTAAGAARTTCTTGAGTGTTTTGTGGAGATGTCAGTACTGACAGCTTTCTCTTACTGAGATTGCTCTTTCACTTTTTGTGAGTGTTGTGAGAGTTTGTGTTCTCTTCTAYGGCAGTACAGATTTTCTTCCTCTTGTGAGAAAAGTAGTGATTCCTACTGCTATGGAATTCCTATGTTACTTTCACATACCAGTTCCTTCAACAAATCTATGTGCGCTACTTCTTCCATGTGGGTTAATTGATCAGTCATCGTAGACAGATGAAGGAGTAGTTCTGTTTTCAGGGATAATTGAAGAAACTTTCTTCTGTGATTGATGTATTTAGAATAAACTTTTGAAGCATACTGTAACTTGTAGCAACAGATCAAATAACCAGTGATGTACACCAATAATTCATTTATAGAAAGCAAATTATATTGGAGRAGAAAAACACTTTAAATAGTGACAGTGGTCTCTGAAGGAGGCTCTGCTCTCTCAGCTCTGGTAACTGAAGTATTTCATTTAATTGGGACCAACTTTTCATTCTTTAACTGTATAATTGCACAATCACCAGATGGCAGTGTTATACATAATCTTGCTAGATCCTTTTTGTAGGAATAAAGTCCCTAACTGATGTCTTCATTCTTCTGCAAGTAATTTTATTCAGAGGTCCTACAATGCAAGAACAAAAATGTTTGTAATAATTATCTTTTTCCTCAACAGAGAAGATGAAAACAGGGTCATCTTTGATTCATTTTATGTTGCTTAACTTAACAGTCTCGTAATATTTATACAAAAAAAAAATACTCCATGTTCCTTATTGAAAAGCAMTTAAATGTCTTCTCCTTTAAAAATAGCATTTGTCAGCAGTTAAATGTTCTATTTGGGTGAATTTGATCTTTCACATGGCAACATAAGAATTAGGGCTSGTGGGGATTGTTAAAGACAATTGTTATGCGTTTCTCCTTGAAACATGGGGTTTGCTTGAAGCAATCATGTCTAGGTTCTATTATTTTTTAAATTGTGCTCTTCAAATTTCAGTTGCATATTTACTGTGTTTTGTGGATATATACTTCTATGAACTGCTGAATGCTGTKGTCTTGCACATTTAAATATATATGTTATTTTACACCGCTTTTCCTTTTCAACCTGTCTGTGTCTGAAGATGGCTCTTGATAGAATTTACTGCTTGAGGATTTTSAACCATCTRACTTTMTCAGGCATTGAAAAAWTTTTCTCTRTTTTTGGAGACCTCTACACCATCATCTATTGATAWTTTTTTTTTTCATTATCCAATATGTAAGTCTCTTTGCTGCATTGAAAGCTCTTGTCGGGGTTTGAACAACACTTTTAGTATGTGGTTTATTTCCTTCTTTTCCTTCATTGTCTCTATTGAAGCTTAGCTAGAATTCAGCAAATATCACCCTAGGCTGACTGAMCATCTTGAATGTAAACACTGAATGGAGTCTTCTGTCTCTGTTCCTTGTGACAGGAACTTTTCTACCAAAACTTCACAAAAGCAAAGTATTTGATCAGAATATATTTATTAAAATGTATCTCTAGTGTTGTGTTGACTTTTGAAGCATCTTGATTTTTTTTGCAGTTGTTCAGCTAAAATAATAAAAAAWTCCGGATGTCTTTTTAAAATATGARTGATATGAAGCAAAYGGCTTCTGTAGCTTCAGATTCTCTGTATTATGAATATAGTACAGACTTCATGTTTAGTGCTGAAGTTAAATCCATTCACATATCACATTATCACATATTCTTTTCCCCATTATGCCTTTCTTCTCCATTTTGACATATTGCATCTCCTGTTGYTCCATTACAGAACCTAATTTGGTAGCTGAAGATTTGTACTCTGTCAAATTTGTTGAAGTAGGACAGCAAATTTGAAAGCTGCTGGAGAATGGACAGAGTAGTGCAGAGTCCTATTTGCAAAAGCTCAAACACAACATCTTAACCTGCTCTTTGTCTGAGTTTTGCTTTAAAATTAGCAATTATGTATCACTTAGATAAGCAGTCCAATTTAATGATAAAACGCATATTTGACGGATTTTTTTGTGATAACACACAATTTGAACTGATAGTCTTTGTGTCTTATCAAACTGCCTTCAAAACCAAATTGAAGTTAGTCACTTCACTCTGAATAAAAAAAAATAAAATTAAAAAATTCCCACATTCATGTACGATTGAATGACTTAACATTCATTTTATTGTAAGTTCTGCATTAGATTAACATTTACCTACATGTCATTGCTTGTCTGACCTTGTCATTTGAGTACCTTACCTTGGAAGGGAACCACAATATTTCAAAATACAAAGTAGCTGATTCATTCAGTACATCCACAAGTGTTAGATTTTTTTTTGTGCTTTAAGCTCCTTGAAATAGAACAGTATCATCTGAAAATATTTTGGTTTCTCCAAAGCAGACTTGAGCACTTAAGCTTTTCCTTTTTATGTTGTTCAAACAGTGGATTTCTCATGATCTTGATTAACTTTTAATTTTTAGATTGGAATGAATGTGATTATCTTTTAAAATCAATTCATCTTAGTTTGCAGCTTACAGTTATTATCAAAATATATATCAGTGTTAATTTGCAAGACTTAAATACTGATTTACAAAGTTAGGASATTATGTAAAAAATTACTTTAACTATCCACAGCATTTCACCTGATTTCCAGTTGATATATGGTTGTATTATGTGAAAGATTTTAAAACATATGAAAGGTCGTGTATCCCTCAAAGAAGGAGATTGCATGCAGGCAAACACCAATATCAATCTTTTATTTTCAAACAGTTATCCCAAATACACCGTCTTGCTGCCTACACGTTTCCTGTTGTTATTTATTGGCATACACATACCTGCAGATTGTTAGCAGGACACCCAGACTGCCTTAGGCGCTATAAATGACACCTGAGCGTTAGTGAATTTTCACAGCGGTGTGTATTGTGCTGTGGTTAATAACTATTCCAATATTCCCCGTGCAGCTGGCAGCCACTGTGCGGACCCTGGCTGACTTTGCTCCGGCGCGGTGCCGCCTCAGCTGCAGCGGTGCCGTCTCCGAGCTCTGTGTGGCGCTGGAGCAGCGCGGCGCCGATAAGGACGTGTGCACCTGCATAGTCCGGATCCTCAGGTACCTATCGAGCACGGACTGCATGAGTGACCTCAGAGCAGGCGCGAAGATCGGAACATTTACACACAATTAGTTTTAAAAACCTCTGTGTAGCTTTTTATGATACTATATGTCTTTATTAATACTTACAGAATTGTTTAATTGTAGCCATACAAAGTTGGATTCGTCATCCCTGTGGAAAATGTTTTGTTGTATTGTGTCATTCTTTGATCCCAGAGATTCTGATTGAGTTTTATAAAGTACCATTTCTTATATTTTAAAGCTGCATAAATTATTAGGCATTTATTAATCCTGTTYTAGGCCATGTTTTTAAAAAATGAATGAGACTAATTACACAAGGGACTGTGTATTGTGAAATTAAATACAAAAGAGAGAAAACATGACCAATGTTCATTGTTTTGAGCTGTAACAGAGTGTTTGAGGAGATTAATCTCTGGGATCAGGGCTTGAGTGTACAAATGGAAGTGCTGAAAGAAATCTCAGTTTTGTGAKCAGCCAGCGGCTGCTTCCCAAGTTGTGCTTTTTAGAGGGAGATCAGTATGAGTTAGTTACCACAAAGATCATTTTGTAGTCGGAATAGTTCTCAGTCAAAAGTCTTCTGTTACCAAGCACCAGCTTGTAGTATTCAATGCTAAATGGACTTACAAACAATATTAGGATTTTGGAGAAGTTCTGAAATTGGCTGTTGGTAATTTCAGGAATAGYTGGATTATAAACACAGTTTATGAATGATGTTCTGGATGAAGTTTGCCATTCCYGCTTTGTTATTGTATTGAGTCATGTTGCCTATGGCCCCATGTTCATTGAGATTCTGCTATGGACTTCTCCTGTTCAGCCACTCCAAATTATCCMTCCCATTCTCCTTTCTAGATGAGACTGGGCTGTGCTTTGAACAGTGGCTACATAAGGGGTTGTCATTCCTTCCTCCCCCCAGCTAAAAACAGGCAAACCTGCTCATTTGCTGTTTGTGCTACCTGTAAAGCATGTGAATTGCTTCCCCAGTTCCATGCTACCTTGTTCACATCTGTCTCTGGTGTTGTTCCCCAAAAATGAGTTGTAGCAATGATTACAGCACTTTGAGAATATTTACTTCTTCTAAGGAGAGAGCATTTCTTTTACTTGGAAAATGCTGTGAAAAGTGGGATAATGGGTTTGCAATTAAGTGTAATTGATACTTACACTGTAATTCTGATAAGAACATTTACTTGATCTAGAATTCAATATGAAGCAAAAATAATTTATCTTACTTAAAGTTTCCTGCTGCTTCAATTTTTTTCCTTAAGTTTACAACTGCATGCTCCAAGAATACAAATTASCTATAAAATCAATTTAATTAGCTTTCTTGAAATTGCACTCACAAAAAATAYACTGTGCAGTACAGAGCTCAGATCTGAATTTTGTTTTGTATTATAGTAATACAGAATGATTATTCTTTCCTCCCAATCAGCTTTAGGCAGTTTCTTTGTAGAGAATGTGTTCAATCTATTCAGGTTATTCGTTTCTGTAAGTCTGTAAATCTTCCTGTAACTGGTTTTAATTGAACATCAACACGGATCTTCCCTGTTTTTGACTACATGGGAAGTAAGAGGTTATCCTAGTTTGTTCTGTTATTGCATTTTTCTGGTGTGACCAGAGCATGTCTGTTCCCTGTTTTGGCAATGGTCAAGGTGAGCAGTGTAGGACTGGAGCATCTGTTAGGGAATGTGCAGAGATAAAATCCTGCCTKCAATGAGGCACATTCTCCATATTTGCTGGAGAGAGATGTGTTCTCTCAGTGCTGTTGCTTGGCTCTACTAGATGTGCACTGRGAACGGACCCCTTATTTCCTCTCGTCTGACTTCCCAAATCATCTTCAAATTACAGTTCTCCCATTTAACGGCAAGAAGTGCTGGTGTTAGCATACTGTGCCATATGGCAAGCAGGTTGGGAAGCTCCTTATGTTTGCTTCTTCCYGTAATGCACTGTGGCAAGGATAGCTAGACTTGTGTTGTGCTCTCATATTAATACACATGCCTTTGCTAGAAGTCAKTATTGGCATTCACTTCATTTGTTTGAAAATAACAGCTCTGAGAGTCAAAAGTGACTTTCTAAAAAATCTTTCACTAATAAAAGTCCTTTCATGCATTTATATTTTATTTTTTCTCTTTGTAGCAAACTTTCTTCCTACAATGACTTCTGTGCAGCTTTAGCAGACTGCTCCAGATGTTACATCTTATTTTTAGCCCTACTAAACAAACACCAGAAGCAGCAGGTCAGTTTTTCATCTCTTGATTTTTATATATTAATCCTCTGATGTGTCTGTGTATTATTGTGTATAAGCTTGTTTTCAGTGACCTACTTTTATGCATTTACCAAATAAAAATTTTAAATGGTTGACAGCATTTCTAAGTAGTAAATTAATGAAATAATTTAGATTAAAAATTCAAAGCAATACAGGGGACAGTTGATTAACTTTTCTATCCTTTGCATGTGTAGAAACAGTTCTTTCAGTACTATTTTTTTTCTTCGTTTTAAAGAGTACTTTTTAAAGAAAAATAGTTATTTAAATATTTAATAGTAGGAAATTGTTGGGCTTTCTCCTGCCCTCCTCACCTGCAAAAGAAGTGTGACTTTTCTAGAGCTAAACAATGTGAAARCAGGRGAAAATATGTCCCTTGCTGWCATGTAAAAARGGGAGATTTACTCAAACCCTTTGTGTTTAGTMTGTCAGAGCTCCAAGAAAGCCCAGACCCTTGTGCCTGAACCAGTCTGTCAGTGTCCTGTTATGGGACTGTTCACTAAGCAGTTGCACTGGGTCTTGGGGCAGTTCCACTGTGACTACTCAGGGTCACACAGCAAACAGAGAAACCTCTGCTGGGGTCTCCACCTTCACCTGCTGTGGGCTATGGCAGCGCCCTTGAAGGACTTGCATTAACAGTTTGCAGAATAATACTCTTATTAATAGAATTGTGACAGRTTAAGGTTTGAGATTTGCCACTGATAGTGTCTGATTGCAAAAATATATTCAAAGCTATATGCGAATTCAAAGCAAATGCAYGAACAAGCTCTAATCCCCAGTAAATGCTGGCCCAAGACAATCATTCAGCATGTAGAGATCACAGTTCTTACACAGTAGGAATCCCTGTGGGGAAGAAGACAGGTTCAGTTTGTCAATTGATCCSAGAAGTRCAGTCTTCCCCARCTTCTCCCCATTCTTAAATAATTTTTATACTATTTCTATATGTTTAGGAGAGCTTGAGTGACTTTGGTCATGCATMTTACTCAGTGAGGGGTGTTTGTAATCTCAGGACAGTACCAGAGATAACCCTGAGCTGGGGACATGTGTTAGTCCAAGGAGAGTGATTTCACCWCAGTTCCTGATTCAAGATAGGATATTTTCTTTTATCTCCCTTGGTTTTCAGCTGCYGTGGGGTTTATCAGCTAGAAAGTGCCACTGAGTTCTCTGCTCTGTGTGAGTTTCAACATGGTGYCTGGCCATGTTACTCCGCTCCACTCTCCCTTAGGTTGCATTGTGTGCRGGAGGTTGGATATGCTGACCATGTTTCATTTAGGGAGTATAACTGTATTTTTCCCTGTAACATTCATACCATTATCTTTTTACCCTCAGTTATCTTCCCATACTCACTGACTTTGTAAGGTATCAAAATGTATCTCTCCTCTACCAGAAAACCACATGCCTGAAGTACTGCATTTGGGACATTAATGTARAAATAAATATTTAGACTTTGTCAAAATGCCTCATATCATGAAGTAAAATGCTGAACATAATTGCAGCCAATGTCATTGGAATTCCAAGGTGTTGYTTTATTGTCCTGGTGTATCAGAGTGATTTTTCTTATGTTTTCTGGAGCACTGGGCCCTCGGAGTTTGWTGCAGGATTCCAGTCTTACAGATTRATGCATTGGTAAGAGTGGAGTGCCCTATGTAGGGCAAATTTTTAAGAAAAAAAAGATTTTTATCTAAAGCATAGCTGTTGAAAGGTGGAACAAGGTTTCAAAACACAATAATATTAAATTACAGTAAGACCATTCTTAAAAGTAAGGAACTTTCTTTGCTGGTCCAATATCTAAACTAGTTTGAGATTATTTAGTTATCCTATACAATTCATCTCAGGGTTAGTAATTCTTGGTGTTTTCTTGGAAACATGTCTTTTGTGCTGCTGTCATGAAAGGGAGTTTATAAAGGGCTTTGCTGAACAGTATTCTTTCTTCTGCCAAAAACAAAAATAATTTGTTCCTTTCCTGTTTACCAGCATCCCTGTTTTCTGTGATAATGCACATGGAAGAGGAACAAAGATTAAGTTGTTTCTCTTCTTCTCACTGTCTGCTGATTAACACCACTSTAGCATATCAGAGTATTTCTACGTTCAGGTTTCTTTTGCATAGTGTAGTCTTCAAAGACCCTTTAGTAAAATACTATGTAAATGCTTTGTAAATAACATGAGAAATGTCAAAGGCATGATATTTTTCTAGATTTATAGTTATTCTTCCTTGTAACCACTGTATTAAAAACTAAACAAATTACAGAACTGAGAATAAGGATTTCTAATAAAGTAACACCTTTCTCCCAAACTTAATCTGTAATTTTAAGGGTACAATTTCTAGGCTTCTGATATAATGGTTTCATGTCATAATGAATTGCAGGCTCATATCTACCTCAAATTGTTTGTTAGTTAGTATCCATAATTTAGCTTCTCATTTGTCTAATAAATAGTCCTAAAATACATCTTTCTTTGCCAGTTTAGCATTGCATTTTGTGTTAAATTGTCAGTTGTTTTATCAAAATACACATGAGTAAAGAAGTGACTTGTGTATTTAAAAAGTAGCTATTACATTGTGCTGATTATATATSCAATGTCTTCAGAATAATTATTTCTTACTTCAACTTTGAAACAAGCATACAGCTGCCAGTTGTCAGCTTAGTGAAGCCCTGGAGAAACAAAAAGAATGACACAGATAATGTAATGCACCACTTTTTCTGTAGTATATAATAAACACTTGAGCTGTGAGGAGTGCAAATGTTTTTCCTGAGATGTAGTTGGCACTGCTAATCTGTGTTTTAAAATGCTGACAGCTAGTGAGTTACAGCATGAGTTGGTATGTGTTGAAAAGAAATGAAATAACAGCAGTGTGAGTAAAATTGTCTGCTGTGGGAAGAAACAAAGAGGAGGAAAAATGATCATTATGAAAGCATTAAAAATCCTCAGGACTAAGAACTGATACATGAAGAAAGGAAGTGTGTGCACATTATTCTGAGTTTTCAGGTTGCAAAGTTTGTGAGATCAGGTTTTTTGCTGGAAGGCATAGCAGCTAGAAACATACAGGGAAAAAGATACAAGAAAACCAGCATTCAGACTTTCTCAAGGGCTATCATAACTATGACTTTAAAGATCAGTGTTAATAATGTGAAAATAAAASATGTGACCACTGGAAAAAGGGTTAAGGACTTGCACCCACACCACACACTGAATTCCACAGTTGCAACCCAAATAGTCTCTGTTTTTCTCTCCACWCTGCAGTTACAGCTCTTTTCCCTTTTTTCTCAGCTCATTTTCTGTCTTGGGTAGAAGMGTCAGAAGGAATGAGATTCAGCTCTACAAGAAAGACTTTTGGGGAAATTGAGTTGGCAAGACTTGATAATTCCATGTGTCATAGTCTTAGACAGGGAATACAGAAAATTGGAAAAGCTGAATCTTCAAGGTAGGACTGGGGAATTCAACTGTGCTCTAACACACATCTGAAGTATGTGTTCATGGTTGGCTTTGGAGCTTATTTGTCTGTAGTAACAAAAAAATGGCTGCCACATGCTCTGAAAATGTTTGGAAGTATTCTTGTAGAACTTCTGTCTTGTAGGATAAGCTTTGCATGATTTTGTTTCTGGTCAGCACTGTAGACTTTTGCCTACCTCAAGAAGTGTTTTAGCGAGGTTCTGTTCCGCTTTCCTGCATCATTATCATCTCTGAGCTTCCCAGATAAACTGCATAAAGGGTGACTTTCTCAGGCTGTGCTTAATGTCAAAAGTCACAAGGAGGCCATGCTTTTGGAACAGGGACATTGCCTAAATAGGACAGTAGCTTCTGTCAATAAGTCAGACACCTGAGCATATGTGGCATTTTGGGGCCTTGCCAGCTTCTGTGTAATGTCTTATCAGTTAGGAGTCTGTTTTCAATCCTAAATACACAAACAGGGTGTGATGCTAAAATTTTAATAGAAGCAATCTAATGCCTATTGTATAGACTGGTCCCCTTACACTTTAATGTAACCTGCTTTGTAAATTGGGAAGCATTTGTTTAAGAATCTGACATCACTGGATGCAGTAATTGCCTATTCAGCAAAATAATAATCACATCGATCACCTGAACACTGCATCCAGTCTGCTGCTCATCTTCAGCAGTGATGAAAGTCAGATGTCTAGAGAACAGTAAAAATGGAGCAGGCGTGTATGATAATTCCTGTGTATACTTACCATTCCTCCAACTTTTTCTAGTTTGGAAACACCCTCAGCCAGYTGTGTATGAAACAAACCTCAGTTGACTTCTTTTCTGTAAAATTCTACAGTCTCTCTTCTACCCCATATACACTTTTAACATGTTAATWATCCATTGACAAGGAGTTGCATAGCAAATAATTCCTTTTGCTTATTTTGAATTTAGTCTTTACTGTCTTTATTTGATACCTTCTGGTTCTTGTATAGCAAACATGGTGAAGGCCATTATTCATTTCACACCTTCCTTCACTTTCTAGATATTTTTCCTGCCCTCTTTGAGTTACCTCTTTTCCATGCTGAAGAGTCCTTGCTTACTTAGCCCTTTCTGGCAGAGAGACTGTCCCCTGCCGTGGTGTATCCACGTTGCTTTTCTCAGAACAATTTTCAGTCCTGATTTCCATCTCTTTCTGTGAGAGGAGGAAACCAGAACACAGCAGTTAAGATGTGGCTATATCATAGATTTGCATGCTTGCATAAATTTATTTTTCAGTAATTCCCAATATTTTATTTRTTTTCTTGACCTGTGAGGTTAAACTCTAGATTGCTATCTAGGTGGTTATGGTTGGTTGAAAGGCTGTAATTTTATGCACAAAGGTATGTTTGCTCTGTTTGTTTTCATGCATCCTTTCATATTTATCTGCATTTAAATTTCATCTGCTGTTTTATTACCAACTGACTACAATTATTTTTCTGTTCTTCAGTCATCTTTGGTCCTTTGAATATTATAGTGAAATCAGTAAATTCTTCCATATCGTTGCTGYTGCC